CTATCTATCTATCTATCTATCTATCTATCTATCTATCTATCTATCTAGGCAGGGGGCCAGAAAGATGGCTCAGTGGTAAAGAGTACTGACTACCCTTCCAGAGGACCCAGGTTCAATTCCCAGCACCCACATGGCAGCTAACAGCTGTCTGTAATTCCAAGATCTGACACCTTCACACAGACATATATGTAGGCAAAATATCAATGCACATAAAAGAAAAACATAAATTTAATAACACATAAAATACAGGCAGATGAGAGAGGGGGGAAGTGAATGCAGAGTCAGGATGGAGACATGTAGAATGGACACAGAGGTCACCTTCCACTGTCCCTGAAGCCTGAAGTTGGGGGATGGGTTTAATCGTATTTCCTGGGGTTGGGCAGTGGTGGTGCACACCTTTAATCCCAGCACTCAGCAGGCAGAAGCATCTGGGTTGGTCTACTCTATGATCCCAGATTAAGTGGGAAACGACCATGGTATTGGCAAATCTGATCCCACACCTTGTGATGCCACTTGTGAGGTATTGACTTCAGGAATTATGCATTTGACCTACACTGGTCTAATGGAGAGTTGGCAAAATATATTTCTTCGGTATTTGGGAGAAGAGTTTCCTGTCTCTTTCCTGTCAAGATATGCCAGGCAATCGTGTGCCTATGTTCTTGTTACTGTAGTCATCATTTCTTTCCTTTAGCCACAGTTTCTTCCACTAGATGTCAATGCATCCATAAGGAACGCATCCACATGGGACACTTCTTTCTTCTTTTCTTTTCCTTTTCTTTCTTTCTTTCTTTCTTTCTTTCTTTCTTTCTTTCTTTCTTTCTTTCTTTTTTCCTTCCTTCCTTCCTTCTTTCCTTTCTTTTTTGATTTTTCAAGTCAGGTTTCTCTGTGTAACAGTGCACATGCTTGAATGAGATCAGGCAGTGATCTAGTGAGACTAGGTACTTCCTCTTCTATCAAGGTCGGATGACTGCCTCTGCCTTCTGAGCGCATTAAATCTAAGGGATTAAAGGTGTGAGCCAAAATGGGATCTTGATTTCTTTCTTCTCCTCCTCCTCCTGCTGGACAGGATTTCTCATTTTAGTCCTGGAACTTGGTCTGTAGTCCAGGCTGGCCTCAGAAGCAGAGATCTGCTTGCTTTTGCCTCCTGAGTGCTGGGGTTAAAGACGTGCGCCACCACCTGACTTGGACCTTAATTCCTAAAGAGCTTGTAGTTGCTAGGCAAAATAACCAAGACAGGTAGTTTAGTTTTCTTTTTTTATGGTTTTTCAAGACAGGGTTTTCCAGTAGCTACTGGAACCAGTCCTGCACTGCTCTGTAGACCAAGATGGCCTTGAACTCCCAGAGATCTGCCAGTCTCTGCCTCCCAAATGCTGGAATTGAAGACCTGTGCCACCACTGCCCTACTGTTTCATGTTTTCTACCAAATACAAACATTTCTTGAAAGGCTGGGGTGGGGAAGCACACCTTTAATCTTAGCATTTAGGAGGCTAAGTTAGGAAGATCCCTGTAAGTAGGTCAGCCTGATCTACATAGAGAAACCCTGTCTCAAATGAGATACAGCAAACAAAGAGAAAGAGAATGAAGTTATCACGGCCAAAGTAGTCTCAAAACAAAAACAAAACACACAACAAACAAACAGATGTAAGACCCACCTTGGACTTTCCTGACCCTGCACATTCGTCCCTCACCCTCTTTTCTAGTGAATACTCAGTAGTGTTCCTCAAGCATCTTTGATACTACCTAGAAGAAAATTTGAATTCCTGGGCACCAAAGATGATGTCATAAAAGAGCAAGCCGATAGCTGATTGGTTGAATTAATAGTAGAAATTTAGGGATAGATCCGTTACCCTAAGACCCTAAGGTGGGTCAAGAGCTTTTTTTTTTTTTTTTCAAAACAGGGATTTTGGCCTTGAACTCACAGAGATCCACCTACCTTTGCCTCCCTAGTGCTGGGATTCAAGGCGTGTCCCACCACACCTGGCAAGGGCTGGGCTTTTGGAGTGAGTATTTATAAAAAGCCAGGGCCTGGACCCTTCTGCTCAGCTTCATTCTGGAGTCAGTAGTTGCTTGGACTTGCCTTATTCTGAAGTAGGAGGAACATTTGAGCATTTGCAATGAGAATCGATGGTGTCGACGACCCGAATGCCTGGTGGAGATGTCCTGAGAACTTTGACGCCCCACTTGTGCTGTTCATAGACTGGGACCAGGAGATGTTCGTATTCGGTAGGTGCTCTTTCCTAGATCTCTTTCTCGGGTTTCCAACCTTCTCCTTCTTTCTTGTCTGTCTCAGTTGTTGTGTGACATTTGGTGAACCAGTGAGATTTATTGGGGTTACTCAAGAATAGGAGTGAGTGATGGAGGAGGGTTAACTGTCTATGTGTTACTTTTCTTGGTTAATAAAGAAACTGCCTTGGCCTTTTTGATAGGCCAGCTCTTAGGTGGGTGGAGTAGACAGAACAGAATTGTGGGAAAAGGAAAGCAGAGGCAGTCAGACGCCATAGCTCTCCTCCCCCGAGATGGACCCCGGTTAGACTTGTCCCGGTAAGCCACAGTCAAGTGGTAACATGCATTAATAGAAATGGGCTGAATCAATATGTAAGAGCTAGCCAATAAGAGGTTATAACTAATTGGCCAGGCAGTGTTTAAATGAATACAGTTTTCGTGTAATTATTTCGGGTAAAGCTAGCCGGGTGGTGGGCGGGGATGCAGCCCGCTGTTCCTTCTACAAGTGAGGGGTTACCCATAGGAGCAGAAAGGACTCACCACTAAATCCCACCCAGCAGGGGTGACAGCTTACAAGAGCTGGGGAACCTGGAGCGCACTGACTAGGCAGCGGCAGCCCAACTTGTTGGTGGGTGTTCTTGCCCAGAGGCCCAATTGGCCTGATCCTCTTTTCCAGGCAGCCCACCAGTTGGTCTCTGCTTCTTACCGTTGATTGGATTAAGCTTCTCAACACACGGTGATCACTTTCTTCTTCTTCTTCTTCTTCTTCTTCTTCTTCTTCTTCTTCTTCTT